GTATTAAGCGCCTTAAGTTGTGGTTAATACCATCCAAAATAAATATAAATGGCAAATGCCACTATTTTGTTTAGCTGGTCATTTTTATATTGTTTTATATTAAGTATTTCCAGGAATCTAAGAAACCTGGATTTTCATTGCCCTGTGCCAACACCATATACATACTGAAATGACACCACAAGGCTGGGTGCATATGCCAAGTCATTTGCAGTCATTAAAGTCTCCTTGGGCTTACAATCATCCCTTCAGCTTGTATTTGCATGTTTTGAGGTTTTATGAACTGACTCTGAACATCATTTTGTTTCCTTGAGTCCATTCTTAAAAAGATCATCCTGTTTTTTTTTTTTTAATTCCATTAAGAAGTTCTATAGGCATTTTTTTTGCTCTACTCTTGATACTCTTGATAAATACATACATTTCTTCATTTAGAGGATTTCATACACGTTAATCAAAGAAGAATCAGCTTTTGAATTTAACTGCATTCACGTAAGATATTCTCAATTGACCAAGATAGAAAAAGCTGAAACCAAAATCTCTGATTTTTTAAAATGCTATTATAGAGAAACATGATTTTTCAAAATAGTATTCCTTGCAGTATTGCAGGACCAATTGCCTTCCAAGAAAGACAAGTAGTAGTTAAATTTCAGGTATGTCCAGTAACTCAGCAGGTGTCAAGTCTGCCTTTATTCTGTTATCCGCTAATGGCACATTCTTGCTCAGTTTCAGCAGATGGAAAAGGTTGCAACTCTTTTTCTGTGCCTCTTAACTGAAAAAGATTACAGCTTTTAAATTATCTCACCTAATCTGGAATTCAGGCTATTTTATTAGAGAAAACTGGAGGTTCTTACTGAAGTATTCAGAGTGAGGGGGATAGATGTATTCCCAGATGTTCTGTAGCATAATGTTATGGTGCTGCCTTCTGGACCCTCCTACTACTGCTACTACTTTCTCTTACTCTCCTCTTCAAAACACTGCAGGCTCCTTAGATGTACGTTACACCACGTACAGTTTAGTCACCCAGATTATGAAAAAAAAAAAAATCAGATTTTTCAGATGTCGTGCTCATTATCACATTTTTAATGTCCTTCTCTCAGTTACTGCCACTCAGAGTTTGGGGGTTGTAAATAATTTCTTTTAAATAGATTGAGTGTTGAAATTAAACCTTGGCATTTAATGCTGGCTGAAAGCATTCAGACGTCCTCCTTCTACAGGAACAAGATCTACATTCTTATAAAGTATCACTGGCATTTATAACGTGGATATCTGAAAACTCGTAACTTCACATCTTATTGAACAGCAAAATCAAAGGTTCATATTTTATAATATTGCATTTAAAACCAACCATCAAAATATTTTTAAAAAATTGGTTTCTTTAAAATCTTTAAGTCATTTCTTTAAGAGATCCATGTATCTGAAAGCATATCTGTTCTATTTTTAACTGCATCAGTTGATTTAGAAAGGTACATATTTTTTCTATAATCTCCATTTCTACATTAAGTAAATGCAGTTGTAAAACGCTGAGCCCCTTCCCCAGAGCAACACTGTGACCTGATGGTTCAGCCCATCTAAGTATCCTTTAGCTTTCACAGAATTATGATAAAAGAGGAAAAACAAGAACATTAGCTCATAGGTTCAAAAAAAGAAAAAAACACATGGTGGTAAGTAGTATGAAGGTTATTCGTTCATTTTCAGGCTATTCTTCTGTTCCTGCATTTGGTTGGTAATTTAGGGATTTTAGACTAATTTCTTTACTCTAAAAAATCCTTATGAAATTATATAAGACTCTGCTATAGGGGCAATTCCCTTTGCCTGGAACAAACCTTATGTGAAGCTCTCGCTAAAACCCCTTGCTGAACAGAACCTGCTCTGCATTTTCAATGATAGCTAAATAACAATCTATGGTTACCTAAATATACACCACTGTATAATCAAAGCCATTTATAAAAAATATACTTCACTTCCGAGTGCTCTGATAGCAAATACAAACAGCTATCTTAATCACACCCCCTCCTCAATTCATAGCTCCAGAGCTCCAGAGGCAATGCCTTTATGAAAGCTAAGAGGCCTAATGAAATTAGACATATCCTTATTTAATTTGATCATTATATGGCTAACTCTCCTAATCAAACTAATGGTATTTTTCAATATATCTGCTTTTATTAGTGGAAAATCAATGTATTAGGGTTTTCTCTTTATGCCCACTCCATCAAGAGTCTAAAAAGCGTATAGTATTCAATTGTATCATCTAGTACCTTCACTTACAAATATCATTTGGCATCCACAAAAACCAAAAAAACAAACACTGATAGCAATACAAGGAACTGCTGACTTATATTCAGAGTGAGTTTTTAATTAAATCTCTTGCTGGCTGAGCATCCTTTTGCATCTTATTAGAATGTACCTTCCTTTGCACTTCTTGGAGATATTTAGGCACAAGAGTCACACAAATACCTGATGGAAAAGACACATGAGTCAAACTATTGGAAAGTTCCCAGGGCAGCAGTTTAGATAGCTAACTCTTCAGATTTTTTCCTTCACTAAACGTCAGACGTGTCAGTGATTTAACAGCCGTTGCCTGAAGAGATTTGATTATGTGCCACTATCACCCCTCTTGATTAATCAAAGCACCAAGTGAAAAAAATCAGATGACAGTTATGTTCACCTTCAGCGTTATTTCTGCCTCATCGGAAAAATTCACGGGGTTGACTCCTCTGCTTCAGTGGTAATAGCAGATATTGCCAGAGGTGATCATACAGCATCTTATTGCTTTCACAGGATGACACAATAAGATAGAAAGTGAAGGGAAAGCCAGGATTATGAAAACACACACACACAAAAACCCCACTGATAGCAGCGGTTTCCAATTATGAAAAGAATTTGCCTTATTATACAGCGCTCTCTGACATAGCTGGGCATCTTGTAGGCACACTCTCTGCAGCAACTGTAAATATTAAAATAGTGAATAAGCAAATTGTTGACTTGATAATAATCTGTAGCTCCCTCATTTTTCAAGGCCCTAGATATATTGACAAAACAGAGATCAAATAAGACAGACTAACATGCTGAAGCACCAAGCCACTGTGAGACTACTGCCCCAAGCAACTACACTAGTATCAAGAAACAAGGTCAGTATAAGGCAGGCTTCTCAGTCGTAGCAAAGCTGACTGAATTTGTTCCGTATCTCTTATCCACTGTGAAGACCCAGTGTCTCTTCTTTGCATGAATTACTGAATAGAAAACAAATTTCTTTGAGGATAGACTGGTTAGGTAGATAAGTACAAGAGAAAAAAAACCTTTTTTTTTTAAACTATTCTTGGTCTTTTCAGCATATTAGTTGTTGCCTCTATTTCTTTTTATGGAAAAAAAAGATGCACTGAAATTCAGTAAAGAAGTAAAACCAAAATAATACATTCAGGCAGGCATAGCTGCTTCTGCATTGCAAGTCTACTTATTAGCTTCTTACATAAATCTGGATTTTAGTTTTCTAGTCTATTTATGGCACTTTTTCTACTGGAGAATGAATTGCAAAAATAGACTGAAAGTAGTAATTTTAGACTATCATAAGAGGCGTTTTGGTTGGAAGAGAATGGATTGCTTTTCCCATCAGATTTATAAAATTTGTAGCAAATTCTGCCTAATATTAGGGTTCAGAATGCCGTAACTCTCTCTCCTGAAAAGGGCATGTAGTTGAACAAAGAAGGCCTGATTCCAGCTGTAAAATGCAGCCACACCAACTTCATGACGTGAAGTGATTTTTGGAAATGAAAAATAAAAACAATAGCAGTGATTTGTGATAAACACAGATAGTTAGAGATAACATCATTCAAAAACAGTTTTTCCCAGCCAAAAAAACTTTCCCTTGTTTGGTGGGTGTGTCACTTTTTGTGCTCACATTTGGTTGCAGGGACACATCAGGAAAAAGGAGTTTCAGCTTTGAAACTGTTTAAATCTGGATTTTGTTTCATTGAGTGTCCCTTTCAAGAATGTAACATTGAGACCAAGCATATTTTCACTGCATCTGTGAAATGTTAGCACAACTGAGAAGTGTGTCAAAAACAGGCAACTGAAAAGAAATCTTAAACAATATATTCAACTCCAGCCCACTGAGACCTGCTCCTTACTACTCAGAGACATGCCTCAAATTTCAGAGAAATTAGATCTTCACAGTTGATATTTTAAGCAGTAATACTTGTCAATTTAGTAGGTGAAAGGAGAAAACACTTTTCTGACAAAGGCCAGTTTCAGTGGAAAATATTTGCCGACCGTTTAACCCTCTTCAGAACATGCTGTGATTTGACAGTTTCAGATACCTTTTTTTCCCCTTTTGCAGCAAATGGAGAGCTATATATTTTTCCTCAGTGTATTAAAACTGGCAGATCTCTATATAAAAATCTCATTTCTTCACACAAAACTCCTTATGATCCATTTCTTAAATCACCAGGAAACTCTCCAAAAATGCCTATACTCGGTTAAAGGTCTGATATTTTACTTCATTAAAAATGAAGTCTGTGATTAAAGAGAAAAATGACAGCACAGAGAGAGATACCTTAACAAAACAAAACAAAAACTTTTCCGTTAAGGTTTAAAAGGTTTTTATGCATATCAAAGGGTAAAAGGGCAGTCAAGAGGGTAGAAGCTAAAGGATGACTTGCCTCACTCAAATCCCAGGATCCCAAGGAAAATGATGATGCTGTCATCTCCAGGAGGTCCACCTTCTTTGCTGTAACACATCCTGCCTCTCCTGCAACCTGCTGTTGAACTCAAGAACCACTGCTTGTCCATCCATATTATATGTAGTAGCAATAAAGAACATGCTACGTTTGACCGTCATTTCTATTACCAAAGTGAAAGAGGAAGACCTCATTGTGTTCATTCTTTGAACTGAAATGAACTCACCAATCTGAGTGGCCTCAGAGCAAGTTATTTTTAAACCTGAATTCCTTTTTCTTTGACAACACAGGCTTTAAAATATCAGTCAGGAAGAAAGAGAAACATCTGCATTGATTTTGATTGTTTAATACTCAAGAGTGAAAAAGTGTAAAATCACAAAGCTTCTACCACCACAGAAATGCAGTTTCATTGCAAATGACCAAAACACAAGCTGCCTGCAAAGTCTCACATAGCTAACATCAGCAAACCCTGTTTCAACATCCTTACTGTCTTTTAAACACCTGCTATTCACAAACATCAGTCAATAGTTCTAGGTCTCTCATACATCTTTCTTTATGCTCTATATTATATATTTTTTCTAGACCAGTGGTTTACACGTTTAGAAAAGTGCCCCACTTCTGATCTATCTCAGCATATAAATATATATATTTTACCCCCAAAATTAGTAATTATATTTTAAAAGCATTTTGTTTAATCCAAACTCAGCAAAGTTCATTACTTGTATTTAATGAAAGGCACAACTTATATGAGTAAGCTTCAGAAGTGCATGCTGACCACGGTTATATCACCAATCCTTTCAGCCTCAGGCTATAATACTTGCACACAAAGTGATTATATAGGGTGAGTTAGTACATTAGACAGTAGGTTATATTTGCTTTTACTAGTAGTGCATGTACCTATGGCCCCAGTTCTGCGTATGCAACCATTGGGACTGCAGAACGTAATTGTCCACCTCACCACATTTTGTTGCCTGGAGGTAGTGTTACCAAAGCTATCGTTATGTTAAAATATCTCAGATTAATGAGAGCTAAATGGAAAATGGGTTGCTTACAAGAATGTTTTTAAAACTTGTATCCTTTTTTCATAACATTTCTGTGTTTTCAAAGCGGCCTGAAAGTAATTGTGCAAAAGCGCAAAAGTATTCATGCAAGGGAACTGTTCGCATCTTCTAATGTTATGTTAATGCACATTTCCAGTTCCTTGCAATAAACTAACTTTCCAGCAGCTGATTAAAATCCTGGTCTTAAATGGAACTAAAATAAGCACACAGAATAAATTTTCCCTCCAGGCAATCAATCAATAACACAGAAATAAGTCTTAGTATAAGCTGCTACATCCGACAGTGATGTCTATAGGAATTTTTAAAGAGCTGTTGTTGCCTCAGTGGAAACAATACCGGTATTTTTTCTCCTGCAATACTAAGGACATCTTCATGTTATGATTCACTTGCTCCTTACTGGTTTATTCCATCATCTGACATTATAATCCTCTGAGCAGATGAAGATAAACATAATAGAGTGTCAGCATAGTTGTTCCTAGGGAGAATGTCTGCCAAAGATCCACAAGGTGTCAATAAATAGGCTCGACCTTGTAAGCAGCCTTTTTGTTGGTTACAAAATATATTTTCCGCAGATATTCTTATATCTATTTTACAGAAGACTGCTTAAGTTTCAACTTAGAGCCAAACTTTCAGAAAATTAACTGATATTTTTCTAACTCTGGTGCTCATTACAGATCTGATTCTTGTCTTTAGGCAGATATTTAATACTTCAAGGACAGAGTTTGAGTGCTTACAGTTAGGCCTCTAGCTGGAAAAATCTGGCTTATTTATTACTTAAATAAGCAGAGATTTGTTATCATTTTTAAAAAGCAGAGGGAAACTAAGGAAACAAATAGTACAGGATGATATTAGAGGTATGACAATTAATAACACTCTATTTATAAATGGAAGCAGAAGATCTTTCACAAGTACATGTGAATAATTTTTAAAAATATTATTATCCATTATGCTGAATGGTATAAATCAGCTTAGTATACATGCCTTTGGTGCTTCAACACAACTCAGTTTCCTGTTCATTTTCCAGCTGTTCATTACCCTTCCTAGTTCAAAGAAGAATTTCATATTACATGACTGAAAAATATCTGATCCTGATCTATGCTGGTACTCACACTGCTGTACTTATACAAAGTCAGGAAAATATACAGAACATTTTGCAATGCAGACAAACCTCATTAATTAATCTGTGCAACACTGATAACAGCTTTAATATACTTTGTACAGTTTCAAGCTTGGTAACTAAGGCACACAACAATCAATTAATCTGCCCCATACCTGAAACAGAATGGTATGTCAGCCAGCGTACTTTTTCTCCTTAGCTTTGCATTTACACTTGTATTATAAAGTAGCAGTCAGTTTTGAAAAATCGAGCTTCTGTTAATATTAAGGAAACTGAAAAGTGAATAGCCATGCCAGACTAAAATGATTCAACTGATTCTAATTTAGGTTAGCACACACAGAACTGTGTTTACGTAACCACAGGCAAGAAATTCAGAGTGAAAGACTACCAGATGGCACAACATAGCCAACCGGGCACAGGTGTGGTCCTGCTCTGCAGAAAAGTGCGAGTGAGTGAGTGTGCGTATGCAAAAATAGCAGCTTCTCATTTGTGTATCTTATTTCCTGTATGTGTCCAGAATCATATCTTCTTACCCCAGTGACGAAAATATTTTGGCTGCTATTTTTGCTTTTGCTAGCACTGCACAGTTTAGTACAGTTATTGGAGCTGGCTTCCGATCTGGACTTTGAGGTCACTGACTTATAATTGTAAAGCTGAATGATGGCCTTCATTTAGCCCCCTGCGCAGTACAAAGGGAATTAGGGGCTTTTCAAATGATATAAGTAGACATAAACTTTGGCCTGAGAAAAACATTACAACCAGGGGGAAAAAGAAAACAAAACAAAAAAAAAAGGAACATTCAAATTTCAGGTTGGCTTTGCAGGGCTAGTAATTGGAAAAGGCATCTTGTCGTTTGCACACAAAGAAAGGATGATCTGGAAAGTATTTGACACACAATGAACATAGAACCAATCCATGCAATTTTACAAGATTTCTTCAGAATAAAACACATTAGCTAATACCTCTGTGTTAAGGAGGTATGTATTATGTAATGTTTGACACTGCACACTTAACCTTATTAGCAATACCTAATATCAAAGTAACACTATATCCCAAAATAATGAGTTGATCTTATTAATGTGTATGGCCACTGAAGCTGTAAAGAGTTCTTCTGCCTACTTTAGTGAAATTAATATCTAGCCTATTTTTTTAATTTGCTTTCTTTTTAAATATTTTAAATGTACTACTCTCTAAACATAGAATGAATATTGTGAGGAATGCTTGCTTCAGTGTTACCTCTTTTCTTCTTACACTTCCTTTTAACTATATAAATAGCATCATTTTTGTCAATTCTTGCTGTGTGGTTTAGTTTTTAATATCTGTGATAACTGTATCTTTTCTTAAAATGTTTTCATTAGGTATTGCACATAAGCACGTGGAAATGGAACTGAAAATCAGCTACCTACCACTCTCATTAGTCTTATATTCTGTTATGTTTGCAGTTAGCTTGAGATTTAAACAGAACTGCTGAGTATTTTAGTATCTAAATAAAATACAGTATTTAAAAAAAATGAAAAAATCCTATTCAAACACATACTTGTTGATTAACCTGCTATAAAACAAACAAAAATACAATCTTTAAATTCCCCAGTAGAAAATTCCTGTCTCTATGGGTAGAAAAATCTGAAGTTATTGGAAACAGGTCTCTGAGGAAAAGCATATTGATAGCATGATTTCTCCCTAAAATAAATTTTTAATGAAATGAAAAACGTGCTGAATAGGTAGATGTTTAGATTCAATACTTCAGTCCGCTATTAGTACCTAAATAGTTTGAGTGTCTCCCTACCTGTTTTGTTTTTTTTCTTTTAAGATAGTCAGAAATCTGTATAAACAAGTTACTATGTAGTTTTCATCAAAAAGTCCTTTCAGAACCACTGTCCATCATTATCATCATCTTCTTCCTCCTCATGGTCCAAATAGAGAAGGGCAATTTTCTTTTCATCTGAAATAACTGACCGTTGGTCTACCATTCTTTGCAATTGTACAGTTTTATCAAAAAATGATTTCTCCACGACCTTTTCACCATGATCATGGGAAAAACTGGAGTGAACATAACCTCCTCTGTTATTTTCATTTTCTACAATCTGGTCACTTTCAGCTATAACCTGTGACTGACTAACAGAAGGGTCTTGGTTACTGGATATGAGGACTGTTGCTTGTTCTCCACCTCCCACTGTAGATACTCCACCCATATTGGAAACATCCATTTGAAAAGTAAATGATGTTTCCTTGGATCCTAGTTTAATGTGCTTTACCGATCTACTGCTCTCAGATGAATCTTCTGTTTGTGAAATATCTTCCAGTGTTTCAGAAATAGGCTCTCTAAAGATTATTTGCTCAGCATGAGTTTCTACGGGACTCACTTTAATGTGCCTCAAGGATCTATTAATATCTGAGCTTTCTTCATTCTCGGAAAGACGTTCTCCTTGGTTAATGAGCTCTGGAGTTTCAGAAAGGGAGCCCTGATATATGATTTGTTCAGTGGTTTTAAATCCTCTTTGACCTAGTCTAATGTGCTTTATTGAACCTTCTGAAAGAATCTGGTCTCCCGATTCACTGATTTCTATGCGCTCTGAAACAGGCCCCTGGTAGATGATCTGTTCAGTTGTCATAAACTCTTTGGGACCTAGCTGAATATGTCTTACTGAACTTTCCGTCTGTGAAAAGTCTCCAGTATCACTGACCTCCACTTTACTAGAGATTGGTCCTTCCAAGATAACTTGTTCTGTATGAATCTCTTTTGGACCTAATCTGAAGTGCCGTATTGATCTGCTGACATCCACAGACCCTTCTGTCTGAGAGAGATTCCCTGAGCTACTGAGCTCCAGAGAGTCTGAAACAGGCCCTTCAAAACTGACTTCTTCAGTTACTTGCCTTGATCCTACTGTGACATGTCTTGTGGACGTCTTAAAGTCTGTTGAAAACTTCTGCTGAGAAAGACTTCCAGATTCAATTTCCTCTACAGTGGTAGTAACAGGGCCTCTATAAATTATTTCTTCTGTGGTTTGGATTTCTTTAGGACCCAGTTTAAAATGCCTAACAGACCTGCTGATCTCTGATGATCCTTCTCTATGAACAAGATCTTCCATATCCCCAGGCTCCAGAGTTTCAGAACCAGGCCTTTCATATACAATCTGCTCAATTTTCTGTACTTCTGCTGAACCAATCTTAATTTGCCTTATGGATTTGCTCTTATCTGTTGATTCTGGTGAGTGAGAGACTTCTCCAAAATCTGCAGTTTCCGAAACCGAATCACCATAAATAACTTGTTCAGTGGTATGATACCCTGTGCCACCACTCCTCCTCATTGTGGATGAGTTGTAGACTTCTTGATTAGCCAGAGGAGTGTGTTTATCAGTGCCTGAAGAAACATCTATTTCTATATTGCTTTTACCATCAACAGCTCTCTCTGAGCTCTCTTTTTTCGGGGAATGGAATGGTATCTTCTTCTCACTTGCAATCACTTCACCAAGCTGAGCTGCATCGAATTCATCAGTATTAAGGGTCTGTGACAGATTGACTTCAGCAACAATGGTTACCAAGCCACCGTCCTCTGTGTGATCAACTTTTTTGATATCAAATTCTAAGCTACTGGAGTCAGCTTGATTTTCTTTTGTTAACACAGACAGCTCCTCTTTCACACTTTCTGGGAGACTGCCCTCCAACTGCTCCAAAGCTTCTTTTAGTTGATGTTTAGGGTCCTTAGTTTCCTTTGATAAAAGCCCCTTTATTGAAGTCTGAAATTCATGGGGTATTTTAATTTCTTTTTCAATAACAATGGATTCAACATGGGATGTTTCGGCTTTTGGATGTTCTTCTTTTAAAATATGAGCACTTGCTTCCTCTTCTACCACTTGGTATGTTACATCTGGAGAGCTTGCACCTTCATCTCTCTTACCTTGTGTGCCTTGCAAAAATTCATCTTGCCAAGAATACTTAATAGTTGATTCTTCTTCTATATGAATTTGCCCATATAGTGAGTCATCGCCTTTTTCATGAGTAACAGGATGATCATCAGGAATAGACACAAAATATTTCTGTTCAATAGGTGAGTCGTCTTCCTCAGTTACTTCTTCCACATGAGTGTAACTCTCATGGCGTTGTTTCTTCTTTTTAAGATCTTCATACGTAGATGTTATGACTTGCTCCTCCTCATCACCATAATGCCTCTCTGTTTCGGGGAATGTATCTTCCACTTCCTCTACTTCAAAAGGTGTTGAAAAATCAGTCCTTTCATCAGTGGCATAATCTAGTGGCTCCTCTACAATCTCAACGTTTACAGACACATTCTTTCCACTCTCACTTCCTTTCAGGCCATGATGTACTATATCTTCTATCTCCTCTTTGGAAGGAGTTCCCTCAACACTCTCCAGAACAACCTTTTTAACATCCTGACTTGATAAACCTCCGAGATCAACTTCACTGGAAATGTTTACGTTTTCTTGAACTTGAGACTGTACTGTGATTTCAGTCTTTATTTTCCCATCATCTGGCTGTTCTTTCCTACTGAAATAAGTCACTTTCGTGTCTGATGATATCTGTGAACTAGGAGGCTGCGCAAAACTTTTAAGAATATCAGCAACAATATTTTCTGCTATGTTTTCAGTTGACAGAGACCCCATTTTATGACTTCCGTCGCTAATTCTCTCTTCATTTTCCAGACCGGATTCTGCTTCTGAAACAGTCACTTTGTGAATTTCAACAGGCTTAGTTACATGCTCATCTGTTTCACTTTCTATGGAAGCTTGAAAACCTTGCAGCCTTATGTCTTTGCTTTTATTCTGAGATACTTTGTCAGGAGCAGACGTTTCAGAACTGATGGGCATCTCAGTGACTTCTCCGTTTCTTGATTCTAAGGACATGTTTGTATCTTTTCTGGTTGACTCACTTTTCAAAGTTCTTGCATTAGGAATATCACCCCCTGTTACCTTCTGGCTAATCACTTCCTCAAGGACGAATTTTTTCTGCTCTATCCCTGTTTTAACCTCAGTCTTCTTTCCAAAATTAACACTTCTGTTTTCCATAAAAGGTTTCTCATCTGTTTTCTTTTTCTCCAATACACTATCTTTCTCCTCCTTTGTTTGTTTTTCTAGTTTATCTTTTTCTTTCAACAGAATCTTTTTTTCTTCAGTTGGTTTGCTCTCACCTCCTTTTTCTTTTAGTGAGGTCTGAGTTTCAGTTCTGGCTTCTTCATATTTTGATGATTTGGTGAAGCTCGGTTTTGTCCTTATATTTTCAGCAGTGCCTGGCTTCGCGTCAAATTTGTGGTCCTTGTTTGATTTTTCAATGTGTGCTGATTCTTTTGAAAAAGATACTGTGGATGAAGTTGTAACTTCAGTTTTCTTCATTTCTGGAAATGTTTGTTGCTGCTTTTCAGCGTTTTTCCAGCTACTGTAGGCTGGAGTAAATGTTCTCAATTCTCTGTGGTCTGTCACAACCCTTTCATCCTTTTTAACAGTTGTGGAAGGATGATATATTGAACCAAGCACATCTCTTCCAAAAGATTTTCCACTAGCTGTTGTCTGTGATCCAGCCTGTGTTGATTGACCTGAATAGCGTGCAGAGCTGCTAATATTCGTCATTGGTATTCTGCGTCTTGTATCAGTGCTCATGATAGCTGGAGAGGCTTTCTTTTTATTCCTTTCTTGATAAGTAGAATAAATATCAGTGTAGTTATATGAAGTGTTTATAAAATCTGCAAAAAGAACATAGATGAGCAAAAATTAAAATAATGGCTTGTATCTAAAAATAATATAAAGTAAAGAAATATTATTTTAGACTGAGATTTTGAAAGAAACAATGTCTCTTCATCTTCAGTGCAGCTTTGGATAGGCATTTCTGTAGGTTTTACATGATAATTATGCCTATGCATAAATTATATTACCAAAAAAAGGGAAGCTTTTTACTAAGTGGCAATTACTCGCTAATTTTAACCCATTGTGAGCTACTAGCTATTATGGTATTTACTTAAGAATTACACCTTTCACATTTCTATTAATGTTTATTTACATTTACAACTTATTATTAAATAATATATGCTAAATATCCTAGGCTTGGTTGATTTTCTGCTTCTTTAGTCAAAGTGGCCTGAAGTTTCTCAGGCCACTGAGAATTAACAGCACCTTGGATATGAAAAATACCTAGCACCATATGCTGGAAATTGAAAATACAAATACAGCTCTTCATAGCCACAAGCTATGAAGATACAAGAAAGAGAGCAACAAAGAACCTCTTAGGCTATATCTGTACAAATTAATCAAATGGAACAGGAATCATTCCCTGTCTCTAAGACCAATTAGCATTGCACAACTCAAATCTAACATAGAAATGGTATCTTAATGTTGAATAAGTCTTTGAATTTTCTTTCATTACTCTGTTAAATTCTCTCTTTAAACCCATATGATTTTTTAACACTCACAACATCTTGTGGCAATGAATGTCATGGTTTTAACTACATGTTCTATTAAATACCTCTTGCTATATAGCTTGAAACTCTCCTAAGAATTCTGATTATCCCCAAGTTCTTGCACTAGAAGAGACATGAAACATCACTCCCTACTTACCTTCTCCAATTGGGTCATGGTTTTCTAAACTTCTGTCATATAGTATAGTACTACCTTCATTTAAAAATACTAAAACTCAGAGACAACTCAATATTCACTTTGCAGTACACTGGTATTAAAAAAAAAAAAAGGTATGCTTCAGAAATACTATAGCACAATAGTTTCCAGTTATATTTCATTTCATTTAACATTCCCTTTTTAACGTTCATTTTTTACCTTGAGGCATCTTCCCTAAATGCTGATCTGTCCATGTAATAATCCACTGGTTGCTCTCCCCTTCTAACAAAGCTCTGCAAAACACATAAAAGGCATTCAATGAAATTCAAGGGAAGAATAGTCATAATATCCAAAATTTATAAGTCTTACAAACTGAAACAATCGTCATGCAGTTGGAGCTGATCCTGAGTGCTTCTAGTACCCCTTATTTTTATTAGTGGGAGCGTGAAATCTTCAGCATCTTTCAGACTCTTAGTTTTCCAAGTCCAGGTCTTGAGAAGAGTCTAATAAACTTACAGTGGGTTATAGCCGCAGAAACAGTACAGTTTTAGAACAAATCTTCCCAATTAGTCAATGTGCTGCTTCCTGACATTGACAAGGCCCACTGATTTGCTCTACTGAATAATATAAACTAGCAAAATGTTCCAGAACCATGATCTTGTGACAGAGTCAGGAGAAAACAAAGCAAAAAAAAGCTTAACAAATATTTAGGAAAGTTTTCTCAGAGAAACACATGCAGAAGATATTTATAAAGAAACGGTAAAAATGATTAAATGTTAACAAACGAATACTCAGTGGCTTTTCTGCTGCTAATATAGTAAAAAGTGTTGTTGCAGTGTGGTATATCAGGGAATTGTTACACGCAGGATTCTCAGTTCTATCATATCTATATTTTCAAATGAATACGGAAGGAAAGTATTACTTCTGCTGTCAAACACACTGGCTAATGCTGAAGGAAAAAGCTTTTAATAGGCTAGAGTAACTATTCTCAGTTCTCGCTGTAGCTGAAATTAACACAACATATTTTACAACAAAGAATGAGGAAAATTCTTTGTGACAGCAACTGCTTGCTTTTTTAATGGACATCTCTGTTTTTCCCCTCTGTTCTTCAGCCTTCCATTCATTTTTCCTTGCAGTACCTCTGCAATAGCTTCCATAGCTCCAGAAAGCCACCCACTGCCACGGGATTATCCTGGCCAAGACTTGCTTGGGGCAAATGACCTAGGCATCATGCTAGCTCAGCAGCAGTTTATCAGAAATGGACAGGACACTAATTTTGTTTACCTTCACTTTAAGGAAATTTTTAGAACCACAAGCAAAAGAGCCTGAATAAAAGATTCAGCAACGGGCAACAACTGTTGATAACCTGCTTCACAGTTTTGTCTGCTATCTGTTCTCAGGGTGCTAATGCACAGAACGGAGTCGGTTAAGTTGCTTCCTCTATGCTAGGGACGTGCATTAGCTGTTCTTGGAGATGTTATATCCAGTGGACTGCTCGAGAAAACTAGCTATCATACCTTTATACTAAGCTTTGTTCCCTACACTGCATGTACGTACTGAGACAACTGCTCGCCTCCAGACCAACCTGACATCAGCCACAGACTGGTTCAATTCCTGCATAACTTACTACCCAACATTTTCTGCTTCCTACAGGGGTGAAGAATTCCCAGAGAGATTAGCATGGCTAAGGGATAAAACATTTTCAACAGTAATTGCTCTATGTTAAGAATATCCAGATAGGCACACAACATGCTTTTGTCCCCCTGGGGAAGGAAACAAAAGGGCTTTTAGTACATTCTCTAGAGTCACCACATTGCTCTGCAGAATAAAATTGTTGACTTCCATACACCAAATACAAAATGTAGATACCAGAGTGACATCTTATTCACTCCTACAATTTCTAGATACAGTGATCCAATAAGCCTGGACCTCAGAATTCCTGTTAAATTCTCTGTGTGCATTCGTCTCTCCTGCTGTCCATATACTTGTTTTATCCAACATGAAATATGTCCAGCTTCAAGCGGGGGAAAAAAAAGAATTGTCCCTTTTTCTAGGGGTGTGAGCTATGTTCTCCCCCCCAAAAGCACTAAACTCTGCAGCATTTCTGGTGCAACAGACTAGAAATTCTATAGCAGGTTCTTTAAATATGCAACTGAATGCTATAATCAGTATAGAAAGCTTGGTGTTTTTATACTGAGTTCTACTAGCGAGATAACTGTTTCATCATTTCCAGTTTTGGAAATGCCAGATGTTTTGCACTGATAACATACAGCTGCAACATAAAAGTTGTCAAGAGTGAGGCTGGAGGATTATGATAGCTGAGGCTTCTGACTCCCTAGTGGGGAGTTGAAAGCAATTTAAGATTGTGGGATAAACACATTTCCTGGGCATTTCTGTCAGAATGAACAACACCACAGACATTTGAAATGTCACCTGTAGATTTCACATTTTACATGACTTGGGACATTTTATACTTCTTTTGGTTTCTGACTACATCTAGATTCAGTAGGACAATACTGCATCAGCAAATAGCATTTGTAAGGTTTCCTTTGCAACCACAGATTTGCCTAGAATCAGAAGAAAAGCCAGGTTAGAATTACCTAACATGTTTACAGCTCGCTTTCCCCTTGGTACAGGCTCAAATGAATACCTTTACCTCTGTTTTATTAATCAAATTCAATCTTAGGATAAGCTTTATTAGGTAAAATCAAAGTAAAAGCTACTTGACTTTGTCCAAGTTAAGAGAAGCTTGGCTGGAATGAGATCACTTCAGCATATCTAAAGAACGTTCCCAAGTCCAAACATCTTATCTGATGATGTGAGTGCCAGGCAAACTGCTCTGATAGACAGGTGCTAACGAGGCTGATGCTGATGTTAGAGAAACATATCAAGGAGCTGGCATCGGAAGTGTTAACCGTGATGAAGGAAACTAGGAATGTGGGTAGCTTGACTAAGGATTTTTGGCTGCTGTTAAAACAACAGTTGTTCAGTTGCTGGAGCAACGTATGAAGTCACTAAAAATAAGTTCCAAGAGGTAACTGTATATGGCAAAGGGCAATAGCAGAGAGAAAAGCTGGATCTGAAATATTACTACTGAACATATTTTGTACTTGAAAACAAAAGGCAAAACTTCATGAAGCCTCTATAAAACTGGACAGTGAATCGGTGGATTAGTGCACCCTGTTCATAATGTATTTCCCCAACCTTATAGTGTAAATAAGAAAATGCTAAACTGACTTTGACTTAATCAGTTAGCATAGGAAACTGTAGTGTAATGTACTGAGCAAACTCAGCCTCTGTTCCAGGTTTGACAATAGCTTAAAGCTTTGCTTTAGGCAAGTCATGCTACTTCTCTGTTCCTCTGTGTCCTTTCCTAATCTTAATTATTTAAACCATAAGCTCTTCATGGTAAGGACTGCTTTTACTATGCATTTAAATAACCTGCAGAACAGGATATCAGTCTCAGCTGTATGAACTCTAAGTATTCAGAATAATATCAAAAAACATTCCTTCAAGCAGCACTCTCTTATCAAGAAACCGTGTCAGATACTTCCCAGAAATCAGATCCCAAATGACATATACCCATGCTGTGCTAAGGCTTAGTTTAAACGTCAGAAAAAAATTCCAACTGCACCATTAATTCATCTCATTACACTACAGTTCTCATTATTAGAGTCATTTATCTAAGGTTAGCAGCTATAGGCTAGTCAACCTGGAACCTCGCTGTGTGCTGCATGATAATAGAAGTAACTAGAACTCGACGGTCCCCAAGAGCAGGTGGATGAGATAAACTGGTTGGGATGGGGAGAGAGAAGTTACCCAAACCAAAAGGATGCAGTGCAAACATTATCATGGTCATTCATATAGAGCAGTAACTTGTTCCTTCTCAGTGACAGAAACCTAAAACCTCGGATAGGGGCAGTTAGCCAACAGGCCATAACAATTCAGCCTCTCTATCTTGAGTATGTGGGAAAGAACTATAAAATAACCTCTCCAGGAAGTGGAATGGAGGAAGCACTTTTAGGGGAAAAGGCTACTCCAATACATCTTTTTTCCATCGTGGCATGGGAGGACAAGAAATGTGTGAAGGAAAGCAGGTAATCGACTGCACATTAAGTGCCCTGGACATAAAAGATGCTGAATGTTCTCCATGAAAGAAAAGAAAGATGGGAATGATGATGTATTGGATGGTACAAGCATAAACAGGAAGAAGTAAAACTGACTGGAGAAACTACCGTAAGTAGCTGAGGAGGTGTAAATGCTGGTGATGGTCTCCTGAGAGGAAGACAGGTGGAAAGGTTTAGGGTAAGCACTGGTGGAGGAAACCAAACTAAGAAGGATTAGAAAGTATGTTCGACAGGTATAGCAAGAGGTCCTGAAAATGACCAAGACCAAAAACATGCTTTGGAGGCTCTAGGAAGTAGCTGCTTCAAAATACAGGGTGGTAACCTAGAGCAGAGCACTTGCAGGACACTAGGATTTCAAGACAAAACCTTTTACTTTTGAACAACAACACAGGTTAATGAGGGCAGAAAAATATTTTTCCTACAACAGAGGCTCTTGGCAGCCTCTGATATTTGAAGATAAGGAACTTCTGGCAGCTGGGGAAAAGGGCTTGATGGTAATGCTGATCCTAGGCAGATTTTCCCTCTACTTTTGAGTCTTAATGGTGGATAGTTCACCATTTTTGGAAATAAAACTAGACATAGTTTGAGTTTTGCAGGTTTTTAGCAACACAGAACAAAACTGTGAGGCACTTGATAAATATTTAATTCAGGATTGGAGGAAAAGGATTGGAATGAAGGCTTCTATGAGGTATAACTTCATAAAGCCACGTCAGACACACATTTCACTTCCCGAGTGAGTCTCAGCTCTCAAAGCAGGAAGGGTGGGCAGGGCAGAATCAGAGAGGAAGTAGGCATGGTCCTTGGGGAAGGGTGTTTTTTGCAACAGTGATCCTTCTTGCCAGTTCAGGAGCAACATTTACTAGTGGAAGAAACTGGTTTTAAAACAGGACCTGTAGGAGTTGTAAAACAAAGGGAAAATACAGGGCGGGAGTACAAAGGAAGCTCCGTGGAAAGAAGTTGGCCAGACACCACACCCTTAGCCTACAATGCCAGGAGGAGAGGAGGTGCCAGTTCCCTCATGGAAACTTCTCAACGGAAAGTTCAGAATGCTGAATTTGAGTGTGTATAGGCACCTTTGGCTTCCTGTATGCATAAGCAAGGATACATGCCAGTATCCTTCCTGAAGATGAACTGAAGCTGGCTTCACATACCCTGGTTATCACAGATAAAAAGGCCTCGCAGAGAAAACAGGATTCAGAAGAGAACATCAGCAATCCAGAACTTTCTTACTAAACAGCTAATTAACTAGATCCATACTGTTCCCTTCCCATAGCAGTGTTGATAAAGGTCACCCAGTAGGGAAGGCATTATATTCTTAATTGAGGAGAGAATGAGAAGGGAAGAGGAAAAATGTATAAAACTTTCTTGGCAAGAACTTTCTCTGCAAGCATTACAGAGCCTGTTTTCTGAAATATAGGAAAGTCCATTTCTCTGTTTTCATCTCTAGACCTTTTTCAGTGGGTAGACGCTCATTTGTCCACTGAGGTCTGCCTTGCCAAGGCAAGTGGTGATCCTGACAAGTTGCATTCTCTAAACAAGTTAAGGAAGTATCTTAATCAGACAATAAACACATGCTGCAGATGATGCTGATTTGTTCCCCTCTCATTATTGGTTGGTCTAAGGATCCTCAGCCCTGTTAATGCTACAGATAATGAGTGATACGACCTCTGGAGAAGTTCCAGGATCGAACGGGCTAACAAGTTTTGACAGAGTGGAAACACTGATGGTTCATTTATTAGCTAAGAATGTATCAGAACAACTGGGCATCGTCATTCCTAGGTCTGGTTGAAAACTAATCGTCAAAGCAATTATGAAATTTCTGTTATTGTGAAAGTGCTTAATTCCATTTTATAGATGAATAAATTGAGAGGAAAGGTCAAATGACAACATAAAAAGTCAACATTGAAGCTAGGATTAAATTTAGAAGTATCATATGTGTCAGCAAAGGTAACAGAATTAACACACACATAAGGACCATCGTTGGCTGCCTTTTCCAGGGTCTGTTTCTTCCGCTAGTGATACCCCTTGGCTTTCCAAGGATCACAGGGATCCCACTGCACCTCCAGGTACTGCTGCTCATCAACTGACTGTGGATGACTTGTCCCAGATACTGTTTCTTATTTCAGCCCTTCCAGAAGCCAGAATCACTTACTCCTTGCCAGCTGCACAACTCAGCTTAGCAAGTTTCTTTATACAGAGTAGAACTCTTTATACAAAGTAACCAAATATCACACAGTGGTGTCTAACTTCACTGCAACTTGAATCTGAAAAATCCAAGCTCTAGGACCTTCCTTGGTACGTCATGGAGTTTCTTATGTATTGCTCCCAATAGTAATTTTGTTTACACAAAGCATATATATATAAATATATGAGCGCTGACCACTGGAAGTTCTGTATTTAGGTCATGATATGTATCTTTAAATGCCCTATTTTTAACTTCCTGGTCCGCACATCATAACATACAACTCTGGGCATCTTGCATGGACCCTCTTTGTTCTTCGATGGGCTATAGACATGCTTTGTTCATTAGTCTATTACCAATCTGCTCAGAAGTTACTCTTTCAGGTTCCTCACATTTTCAATAGTACAGCTACAATTAAATTTCATATATTTCAGTGTATCACTTTCATCTGTGTACTTCACCCATAATTCAGATGGTGCCATCTTTATCCAGACTTAGGTGCTTATTGGGTCATAGCACCATTACATAACATTTACAGGGCGCAGAAGGACATATCATACATAATTTGTAGCCACACTGTGTGTTTACACAGGTTGAATATGAATAATGCACACTATGTAAACAAGATAATGAATATCTGAGACACAGTCCTTACAAAGGACATGAAAGTAGGCTGACATTAAACTTTTGCAGATTATTGCTTTGCTCAGTAAGAATTGCACCCCTCTGTATTTGAAGATCAATATCTCCATGACATTTATTGAAAATATTGCTCTAGTTGGATACTACTTTTATTGTAAAGGTTATATTTTTTCTACATCTCTAATCCATAATCTTTTTTTCCAGTTTTTCCTCTTCTGAGTCACTTTTATGCCACGTGCCAACTGATACATCATGATTCTCCAGACAGCAGAATTACTCCGGCTTTTCAACTGCACAAGTAGCAAGTGGCTAGAGAGATATACAGTACCGAGGATTTATTAGCAAAGATGTTGTATGTTGACATCCCAAACCCAAACATGTTTTCATAACAAACCAAGGATGGAGAAAGCTAGGATTTATCAAATAGATTTTTCTGTTATCTTCCCATTATTCTACAACTGGAACAAAACAAGAGTGGGGAACTCACTGCTTACATCAATGCCATAAGTGCACACTAGGCAACACATTCAAAAAATGAAACGTGGCCTGTAAGTTGACAGATGGCAGCTACGCTGCCTCATGTTTTACTGACTACAGTTTAGAGGTATTGGCTCCTCAGCTTGTATTCAAATAACATACCAACAAGTTACATCAACTTGAAATCAAGTTGACCAGGACTAAAAAGGTTTCTTAAGTACCAATATAGTTGTGCAAAGTTAACAGGATTTTATGGATAATATCAGCTTCTCTAACATGTTAGAATACGGGTATTTTACAATTCTTACAGTCTCCCCAGAGATCTGAGAACTGTCCTGTATTAACAGTCTTTTGAAGGACTGCATCTTCCTTTCACAGACAGCACAGTCGAGCACAGGATGCCTTGGTGACCTAAAGTCACAGAACAAGCCAACAGCAAGCTAAGAACTGGTATTAGGAGTCCATTCACTCTGTTCGGACAAACAAGACAGAATCTTGATCTGAGACCCTAAGAGTAGGTGTCTACATTTAGAAATACTGGAAAAAGGATGAATGGGGTTCCCATGTCTGTAAAAAGTGATTAAAATTTTCCCTATCATTAGACAGCTCAGTGAGATTGAAATTCTTACCTGTAAGTTTCAATTTCAAGGATGAGGCCTGCTTTCACTTGCAGTAGTTCTTGATAGTCCTTTAGGTAATCTGTGATCGACATGGTCAGGAACTGCTTTTCTTCTTCTAGGGCATCGATTATCCGCTAAAGAGAAATACTGCTTTTTAGTTTTGAAGAAACAAAAAAGTCACACTTGAATGCCTAACAACTTAAAAGTTTTAATTAATAAAATCTAAAAGAGCAATAAATCAACATATTCTGTCACTTCAGTAAACAGCACAAAACTACTCAAGGACCTCCCCATATACAACCTGTAATACATTGCTGCTGAAGCAGATTTTCATGCTGAGATTCCATCTTATGCCTTACTAAGCTAGCTAAATATTTAAGCAAGCATCGTTCAATGCCCTATACAAGAGTTATCAATATGCACGGCATGAAAAATATGTTCCTTTATAAATGCAACTTAAATATGACTCATTCTGTCATTTTAAAGGTTCAGATGTACAATCATACTTGAGATGCTCATGAATTCTGGCAGTTACTTTGCCACAAGAACATGGCCTACTTCTCTTCGTTAGCACTTTCAATTAGTTCTGTAGACACATGGGTCCAAATGAGTTTTGGATTCTAGCATCTAGGGCCATTCATTGTGCCTAGATTGTGAATGATGAACTTCCACAGGTCCCTTGCAGCCTAGTTTTCTACAATATTTGGATGCCTGCTTTGTTGTCCACACCCAGCTTTGACCTAACCGCTGCTCAGAAGATACAGCAGTGATTGCTCATTTTCATCTTGAAAAAAGTTAACTGCATATAACTTTATACCTTTAATGGAGGGGAGTGCTGGGGAGGTGGAATATTAGGTACTTTGTATGGCTCCTATAAATGACTCAGGAGCAGCACTGATGAGATGAAGGGCAAGGCCTGCCCATCTTTTCCTTAACAAGTTGTGGAAATGTAGCAAGGGACCGAGGATCAGAAAAATATCAGAGTTCAAAGTCATCTGAATGTGAAAGTACACTGAAATACTAGATGGAAGTTTGAGCACTGAATAACTGTACACAACAGCAAAAGCAAGGTCACGCAACAGAACATTAAGATCTGATTTAGACCAAGACAACTGACTCTCCTACTCCCAAAAAGAACATCGCAGAATGAAAGTGCTTTGATCCCCGGTGTTACCTCCCACACGAAGGGCAAATTCGCAGCTCCAGAAAATAAGCCCTCCCCAGCTAGCCAACAGGAGTTTGTTCAGCACAGACTCAGAGCTGAAAGTATCAGAGTTACCTCCCGAGTGCTGTCCTTAATGGTTTCCTCGCTGCAGATGGGATCTGCTAACCCAGATCAATCCTCCCCAGCTGGCATACTGATACTAACCAAAATGCTAGAGATTAGGCCTTCCGCTGGAGGCTAAGAAGGCAGAAGTGAAATCTCAGCGAAGGCCTTTTTCTACTTTGTTCACATCCCCCCCCTGCAAGGCCACAAAACTGTCATTTACAGAGCAAAACCTCACACACGTACAACACTGAAGGAATTCATTACAACATATTTTGTGTCGCGTCTTAACAGATGCTCTGCGATACAACCTGGAAAAAATCAAGGCACTGGCAGTCTAGTTTTCAAAAATTCAAAATACATCATTCTTAGGCAGCAGGAGTTCAAGTATCACAGTATGGGCAACAGCATAAAAACTAAGATACTGCAGGGGACTCCCAGACTGGTTAATACCAATGTGATATTTAATAGTTTTTTTGTAAATGAGAGTAAAAAGAGAGCACTATGAAGGAAGCTGCTTGTATTTGTATTTACAGGTGTGTATATCCCTCTGTATAATACACGTGTTCATCTGTTCCTTCATTTGCACTTGCAGCTGTTGCTATATGATTAAGCTGCTATTCGAGCGTTCATGAAGACTCCCACTTTATAGCAAAAGACAAATCATATCTGCACGTCTGCAACAGCACAATCAACTATCCCACAGCCTTATCCAGACTACGGTGGAGGTAACATCTTGTATGGTCATGCAGCATGATAAGCTGAACCACGGACCTTTAACAACTCTGAGGCAATGGTCCTATTCAAGAACTGACACAATCCCAATTTTCCCAATGGAAAATCCCAAGATGAGAAGTGAGGAAGAAAAGTGCCAGGCCTTGCTTTTAAAAGGAGTAGGCTACCTAACAAAAATGGACAGAGTGTTGCCAAGACCAGGAGACTCTGCAAAAGGGGCAAAAGAGGAAGAAAGACAGGATTTCTGTGTGACCAACCCCTAAAGCATTCCAAAAGGTGTTAGGAACTCTGATGCAAAACATGAAGTGATTCAGGTGTTTGTCTTCCCATTAAACATACAAATTTCTTAAACTGAGACGAAAGTGTATATATGCGTGCATACATTAAGAATCTTGAGCTTCACAACGTACAGGTCTTGTCACAGTCACAGAAAAATCTACCCAATGAATCTGTACACTGGACTAAACAAGATGGTAGCGCTCTAAAGACTTGAGATATTCATCCCTGTCTTAAGACATACGACCTGTAGTCCCTCGTCCTCTAAGGCCTAAAGTCTGACTGCAGAATCAGACTTTGAAAAGGTACCTAGATGTCATCCACTGGATTTGGAAAGCACATGGGATCCAAAAGCCTGAGTTAAATACAGTATCCTAATGATTACCATAAGGGGATACAGAACTCAGCCAGCTGTGTAATATTTCCAAAGGAATTAATTCCACCAGGGCAGACGTTGTATAGACTGGATGGCAGACAGCCACCCACCCATCCAGCCCTCCAGTTACTGACGTTTAAACGTAACGCAGAGGACAACAGGTTCTAAGTCCCATTTCCAAGCACGCTGAAAGGGTACATAAACCACTTTGGCAAAGTTCAGGAGATTAGAAGTTGACAAACTTCCCTCTTGTAAGAGGTAACCTGTATTGTTGCAGCCATGTTTTCTTCGCACAGGAGTCTCCTCAAAGGGATTAGCTTGGAAGGATTTGTTTCTCACCCACATCAATCCTCCCCCCTCCCCCCCCCCCAAAAAAAAATCCCAGTGAAGTTCCACTAGAACTGAATAGAAGTGATTTTTCTCTCCTTCAGATGTTCCTTACTGGCCAGCAGCTCAGGGAATAAAGGGAGGATGCCAGGCTGCAGCACTTTGCTGACACTCTGTGCTTAGCTGGCTGGAAACTGGTACCAAAAACTGCATGCGACATACTGGTATTAAATGTTAATTAGGCGAGATGCTTTCTTGTTCTTTGGAGCTCACAGCCCCATTGCCCAGATATGGGAACCAATCCTAAACCCACTGGATTAGTGAAAAATTTCTGCTTGCTTTTGAGGAAGCGGGATGAGCCATGGCCTTTTTTTACAACCAAAAAATAGAGGGCTTTCTGCTGCTGTCACTCCATATGGAAGCTGCCACTCGAATCACTGAGTTTTTGCACAAGTATTGTCACGCCACACAGCTAGAGTAACAGAGAAAACAGACAACAGATCTACTGAGTTTATCCCTCAGCACGCAGGACCAGTGAAAAATTTCACTACAGTACAAGATTTAGAGCTTGCTTGGTTCAGCTTAATTACAGTTGCAAACAGATATTTCTATTTAACATTGCCCAAAGCTTTAGTGAGCATAGGGAGGGTGCAGGAGACAAAGATGGACATATAAGGCGACTAGATGATATATGGAAAATATGAATAAATCTAATTGTTATTGCAGCTGCAATGGACACTCACACAGTAATCACTTGACTTAAATCTGTACATACATATCATTTCTATGTGACACTTTAAAATAAATAAGCACCCAAGAGATGCTTTTTAAAGCGTCTATGCTAAACATATTTTTACTAATAAAAGAAACAATGAGGAAAGAGAAATTCATCACAAGAACAAAACCTAAAAGACTTGCTTCTACACGTTCTGTAATTTTTCTTTCTGCACGTGAATGAAAATCATTTATTTCTCATGTAAAATAGACTGGCCACTAGGAAAGATCTTTTTCATTGTAAACTAAACAGTTTAAATATGGAACCATTCGGAAGTAATAAATCTTATGATTTAATTTACAGCAGAACTTAAATGTTTTCTAGATATATATTGAAAGCTGAGACTGTTCACATGTGTTCAAGTTGGATATTAAAGCATTATAAATTGTTTTTTCAAACTAAGATCCCTAACATTAAATATAGACAGGAGGACACATTTTGGAGAACAAAGGAACTTTAAATAGTAGTAGGCATATGTACATTTACATAAATTTACACTCCTTAAAAAAAAACAGGAAAAGGAAAGTTTTTCTCCTTACATTGTCATCTGGTTTTGACCGATGGATAGATTTAATTAGTGAAGGATTTGTATGTAACATCTTCTTCCGAAGCTTTGGATATGTTTACATATATGTTCAGAAGAAGAAGAAATTGGCCTATCAAAAATCAAAACATGTGGATTTAAAAGTTAAAAGTCCTTCTGATTACTTCTTACATACCCTGCCTGCCTCAGTGGAGAGCAATGTGCAAACTCCGCAGCTTGCAAACAACCTACGATTTCACAGAAAGCAGACGCACAGCGACAGGTCCCAGTCCTTTCCCGACGGCCAGCATCTCCCTAATCTACCGCGCCTGTTGCACACAATGTGGTTATTAACACGACGGTTCGGCGCAAGCAGGAGCTCTAGCAGGCTGTTAATAAAAGGTCTAACAACGAACAAAGGAAACGTTGCGCTCAGGAAGCGGAGCGGTGCCCGGGATGATCTAATACGCGCTCTCCGCTCCCAACCTGATGAGCGGATGTTCCGCTGTCCCAGCGCATCTGTGCGCGCACGGGGTGACTACGCACGGGACCAAACGCGACGCTGACAGCAAGGTCCCAGCTACAGACGCTGCCCTATCCCTCCGTTTAAAAACACCAAACGTTTTAACATCCACCTCAAAGAGATACCGGTCACCTACGCTGTTAAAAGCCGAACTGCCAAAAATTCCCACTCAGCCCGCAATCCGTAGCACAGTAATGAGCCTCCTGCTTCGGCCAGGCCAGGAGCTTCCTCGCCCCCACCGGGGCCCACCCGCTCTTCTCTACGCTCCGGGCAGGCGGAGGCAGCGCGCACAAAGCGGGCAGAAAACTCGGCTCAGCCCCCGGCTTCACCCCGCGGCCGTGTCGCCGCGCGTCGCCGGCTCCCCGCGGACCCC